ATAATTATATTAATTATATTATATATATATATATATATAATATATATATATATATATATATATATATATATATATATATATATATATATATATATATATATATATATGTGTGTGTGTGTGTGTGTGTGTGTTTGTACGTATATATATATACTCTATGTGTGTGTGTGTGTGTGTGTGTGTTTACGGGTTTTTTTTATGTAGTATTCGAGGGTTGATGAGATCATTCGTTTTAATCTGCTCGAAGAAACCTCGGAACTCGGACGCTTGATCGCGAACGACTCACAGGTCAAAAACGGTACATCAATGTTCAAATTAATATACAGGGACCTTCGCAGTTTCAACTTCTCGCGTATGCTCGGCACTTTCAAAGTAAACAAACAGTTTTCTAGAATTCGTCATAACTGCTTTTATATTAAACCATGACTCGGGCAAGGCTTCATCTCAACTCGGACACAGGTTCCATTTCAACCTATGATAGCGTGTGTTCAAGCGTATATGATTAAGAAATGTGGTGTTATGCCAGGTTTCAACCACACACATAACATCAATTTGACTTAAAATCGATACAACGTTCAAACACTTATCTGTATGTGCTGCGTTGTCCATGTTGAGTCCTTGTGGGTTGAAGAACGTCATCCTCATTGGTCCTAACATTTTTCATCATCGGTCAATACTACTGGGCTCTCCTCTTTGACGATGTCAGCCATTTCTATATCATTGCCTGTCGTCAAAGAGTCCGTCGTGGAAAGCTGAGGCTGCGTATTGCTATCCATCGTGTCGGATGATTGTGTCGGGGAGACTGTTGGTATATGAAGTCGTCCGGGTTCCGCACGCGCTGATTCTTTAGCGTTTACCGGGATTCGCGGGTTAAGTGAGAAGAGGTTTGCATCATACTTTGCTTGGTAAGCCTTCTGGAGACGGTCCGCGGTAGATTGAAGGATGTCTGCCAAGTGGGCTCAGTAGTGCATCCATGCTGCGGGCAAGAATTTTTGGTGCTCGTTCATGTGTGCAGCGGGCCTCCCGCTTGGTGCGTAGATAGTGAATTAAAGCAGCTTTCGTAGCGTCGGGATGTTGTTGGGAGCGGGGGTCGATGTTTTCATCAAGCTGCCATTTCCATGTAAGTGCTGCATGTCGTATCCATACCTTACGAGGTACTACCACCAGAACTCCAGGCTAATTGTTCACTTTTTCTAACACCTGGACATGAGTCACCTGTCCTTGAGGGTATTATAGACCCAGAGGCAGGTAGAAACACTCCCCCACCTTTACCCAACTGGGATGACAATCGTCGGAAACCAGTTAAGACTGGGTATGTCATCCAGACACATGAATCACCCAAGATCATAATACCAACGACTAAACCCTAAAACCATAGACTTTACAGGGGGTAATAAACACCCCCGTAAACGTGTTAACGAAGTCGAATTTAATCGCTTCGATCGCACAGCACTACATCAACCCGCAGAGGATTTTCACTCTGGCTAGGTGACCGAGCTTAACAAATCGGTCGACAATTACACCATTAAGATGGATGATGACGTATCATATTTGGCTTATATGATCGCGATCAAGCAGAAACACGTCGATTAGCTACTTCAGGTCCAACGTGGACAAGACCATCGGGATAATTAGAAGTACAAGAGACAGATCAGTCAACTTAAGTCGAACTGGGATGCCAACAGTAAGCAGGTCGAGTTTATAAACAACCATGACCTCGACACGCTAGCCCGTACGCTTAATGCGTTTACGGTCATGCTGGAGACGAACGATATCGCTCCCCAGCAATGGATTTCTGCTGTAATACAGGTTACTTGATCCTTGTCAACATGCGAAGTCCAGGAATGAGTTCAATTTTAACTGAACCAGTTGAGAACACGCCCATTCAGAGTTACATTCTGAAACTTGATGCTGACCTTACACGTCCAGATATAACAAAGAACAAGGCTCAGCGATGTAAGATTCGGTCTATTAAGGCGATATTAACGCCTTAGAGTAAATAAACGCGTAGGTAAATTCTAAGTATCGTGAAAATATCAAAGTAAATAAACAAAATGAGACTTTTAGTAAATTAGGTATGCCTCGTGAAAACAGCAATACCCTGAGGGATTGTGAGGCTGAGACATTGCCTATATTTAATCCTCTCAGTACTGTTTCCGCCGAAGGGATTTTATTTAGTGTTTCGTTGTCGCTCTATTAGAAACTATGGTATGTTTCATTGGGGCGAATCTGAGAGACTCATAAAATCCTATCTTTAGAAGAAGAAGAAAAATTTACTCTTGTAGTCCTTAATTATTCTCTTTACCAATAACTTGCCACTTATCAAGAATTGCCGACTTAGCCTTCATCAGACTGGCACATCTGGTTGGCTGATCGGAGGATCAACTAGGTAACGTTAATAGTCCCTAGAAACCTATATTCGGTTGAGCCAGCTCGCTACCGAAGTATTCAGATATAAATAAAGTTGGAAACTAAATATAGTTCTATTAATAGAAATAGACCAACTCTTATGTTTGGTATTTTACTGGGGCCTTTTAATGGCCTCGTCCAAATATCTGATATGTAAAATGGAAAAGGTATTAATTAATAAAGCCATTAAAAACCATTTAGGAAACTTAAGTTCCTTGTACTATTAAGAGTACGTTTATAATTTATGTACTGCTTAAGAGTACATTTATAACATAGAGTTTAATGTGGGGGCCCGGCTATTACACAGCCCCCACCCATCTTTGAAACACATGAGAAGCAAGTTGCTCACTCAAGCTGATTATGGGTCAAAAAGCGAGAAAGGGAAAAACGGGTCAAAAACATTAAGTAGCATAACATATAGTTAATGTTTCTCAGGCGGAGAAGTCAAGCATTCTCGGTTACCCTGTGAGTTTTGGACTTAGGTCCAGTAGGTCCGTGGTGGTCGACTGGACGTTTCTTACGCTTCAATGTCTTAAGTATATATGAAGGATGAGCATTAAAGCTCGGGATAAATGCTGTAGGCGGATAAGTTTTAACTTCCGTACCTTCAGACG